AAATAAGACTAGACTGCTTAACGCTTGGATAGATAACGAAGTTTTTGGCAATAATTGATGGTATATGCAGAAATGTATTCGCTACGATCAAAAAAAGATTTCTGTGTGGCTACATTGTAACTGAAAATGAATAAAGTATTTTATGTGGTTTATACGGTGGCTTCTGATGATAATTTGTAATAAAAGTATTGCTCAATGAGAAGAGTACTTGTGGTGGTATGCGGTGGGGCATTGTTGCAGCGAATAAATTAGAGTGCTTTTTTGCATTAGTTTCTTCTCGGTGTTGTTACATCATTTATCCATCCAAGCAACGTTTCTTGTGGTTTAACTTAGACGAGGCGAACGAAACTCTTTGTGTTGATGCTGCAGCCATTGCCCTTTGTGAGTGAATGCTGATGAACGCTAAGTTGATGTTGAATGAAAAGTTTACAAATTCATACTACCAATGAAACATCAGCTCAAATTGTTTTAAGTGGAACACTTCAAGTGGAGTTGAACAACGGCTGAACGAGCAAACGGCTGGTAACAACAACAATGCGTTTTGTGGCCTGACTGTCTGACGAAGTGCTAGCTAATAGCATTGTGTTGGTTGGCCTTATCTGAATGTTTCTTCTCAACTGATCTTCGTATGAATATCTTCAATGAGCTATAGCCTATGAGCTGAGAAGCAGATGAAGATGCAGTGCTGTGTGTGTGCAGGCAGCATCATCGAAGAGATCATCCAGAGAGTTTTTTTTTTTGTTGAGTGAATGAAAATTGTAAAGTTGGTTTAGAAAGTCTTTTCTGTGGCGTACTTGTTAAGTGTAATCAAATTTATTGCCGATTTGATTGCTGCTGATTCGAGCAATAGACGAGTTGGTGGTACGTTTGTTGGTTTTAATCTTTCATTAAGCAACAATCAAACGGTGAACTATGCATTCGCCTGGCTGCCTTGTTGCCTGCCTGCCTGCCAGCCTTCTATAATAAAAAGAAGGAAGTGTGGTAGCATTAGCCTAAAAGGCTGAAAACTTTTTGTTTTATCAGTACTTTTTGAAACAGCTTGTTGGAAAAGAGAATAGACACAAGGATGGATTATCCAAATCGCTCACTGCGAGTAGATGGGGACTAATCAGAGTAGACAGACACAACAACGCTGCCATTTTCATAGGACAGCAAGATGCCAGCCACATTCAGCTATCTCAGCTAGCAGGAGAATTTTTCAACAGCACACTTCTGCTGTGGCTTCTTAGTTTCGATCGTAGGACAAAGAGCGCTAAAGGATCTTTCTGAAAACGCTGAAAAAGTAACAGTGAAGAGGCAAGCGGAGAGCCATCAACCACTGCTATGGAATGAATTATTATGACTGCTGGAGTGAGTTGATAATCTGTGCAGTGTTAACCAAACTACCAAAAGCCATTTGCTAGCGTACAGTTCTAAAGGGTTCATCTCCTAATATAACGATTTCATTTTCGTTTGTGCTCCGTTTTGATAAATGGATGATTTTTTACTAATGTTGTTGATTTTGACGATGGTATTGCTGCTGTTGCTGTAGTAGCTGCATATTTTGGTGGTTTATGATATAACTGACAAATCAATCATCGTGAACACACACACANCACTAACAATCTTTCAACAATATCTGATCATGCATGAGAACGATTGCGATTCGTAAATAACCGACACTTTAAAGGATATCTGAAACTATGCAAATGCACAGTTCATCATTTTTTTCGACGACACTGTATTGAATGAAATTTGGACGAATTATTCCATTTGAAAAAATTGCAATGTTGATAATGTTGGTAAGATGGTATTGTATCAAATTGTTCGGTCATCTCAATGCATAACAGTGGATGAAGCGTGTTGTTGCATTTGCTGGTTACGGTAGAAGCAATTCCAAAGAAAACATATCTGGCGCGTACACCCACAAAGGAGAGAAGAGATTTGGTCACATTTGATGATGATGATGATGATTAAAGGTTTAGAACAGTTGTGAAAGATGCACGCGTTTCATATGCCTTATTTGCATTTGTTTGTCTAATGAGTGTGAGATGGTGTCCGTATCCCTAATCACCGTATCGTATCGCCTTAAATCCGCATACACAAATATCAATTTGCTCTGACTGGAAATTCCATTTTAATCGGAATTTTAATTGGTTAAAAAGTTAAAGAGGAATTCTATGGAAAATTATAGTTGTTATTATTTCGAGTATTTTTATATTCAATTACTTCGATATAATTTGTTGGTTTCGTTGTTCTAAAAGCATCATAATATATGGTAAGATTTGTTGCGTCGAATCAGAAATAAATAAATTTATCAATCACTATCATCGATATAAAGTATGCATTCTTCAGAACAGATACACATATTAGCACAACGTATGACTGAACATCTCTGATTGTAAAATCAGAAAAAAATAGAGGATGATTATTAGATAAATCAGTGAACGTATCTGGGAAACCTATTATTCGGAAATATTTCATTTTTCTGAACATTGTGAGAGAAATTTACTTAAACAGGGAATAACGCTTCGCTACTATTCTTATGACGATATTATACTGATAATCATATGTTTTACTTGAACACCTCTTTCTCCGCACAGAATTTTCCGATTACGAGAGACCCCTTTGCAATGCCTAAACATACTTATTTTTAGAGTGGAATGTATCGTGTAGAAGAGATTTTCACATCAATCTTAAAATTGTTGTACTACAATATCATTGTTAGACCCGATAACGATGAAAAGAACGTGACAAATCTTATATCAAATCAGCGTATGTACATGAAATATATAAATAAACCGTATATAACAGCAAGCAGCACAAGGTGTTGCTTCAAATTGATCATTGATATCATACAAACAAACAAAACGATATGTCGTCACGAAGCACATTTGATTCAGCTAACATAATTCGGCGTACTGACTAGATGAATACCTCCGTCCCACCAGACTCTCAGTGTGTTCGGTAGAGTCGGATGTTTCACCCAATATGAACCATCTGAATATGGCAACCTTGCCAGATACGATTTTACCTTATTATAGGTTCGCAAATAGGTTGGGTATTCTGTAGAATGTGAGAGTGATATATTCCGAAATAATATTTTTGATGAGGTTCTCCACTCCTGAAATGCAAACGAAAATCATGAATGCATCCTTCGGTTGCATTTTAACAATTATACGACAAATCAGGGCTTATCGTATCGCATCATTTTTTTACTTGGAAGAGAATTATAAGAACCGATTTCGCAAAAAAAGTTATTTCTTACACTTTTAATATGCATTTCTCCACTTCTATAATACTGACAATAAATGGCAAAATTCATAAATGAGTATTAATCTTTGAGATGTAAAAATAAGGTCCATGAACACACAAATAACTGATTGGATGTGAGTGGTTATATCATGATGAAGGCGCGTGACTCAATCCATCATCCGGTTGTGACGCTGCTGCCAGACTTATTTACATATCTAATGTATTCGACACAGATCTCATAAATCTCATACAAATCAAAATCTAATCCAGCAAAATCTAACCTTAATAGCGTCAATAATCGCCGCATCGGAAACAGAACAGCTATCCAGACGAATGATTTTCTCGGAATGTGGATTGTTGAGGAATGTTTTAAAAAATTCAGTATTATGCGTTGTAATCTCGTCAGTGACCGAGCAAATATCGATCATTTTGCAATGGTTACATATTGATTCAGCGATTTCTGGCGTTGACATATGCTCGTCATTACCACGAATCCATGCCATTGAAATGGCGTTTATTTTGAACATTTTGATAAGTTTAGCAAATCTGAAATATTCGAACATTCTCAATGAAGGGAAATTCAAGTTGAAGACCTTCAACCAAAAGTTAGAGAACATTCATTGAGACTTAAATTCGTTAATTAAAAATATCAGCTCGATACTGAGTATTAATGTTCAAGTTCGCCTTATTCGAATGAATAATTAACAAGCGTCTTGTTTAATCTTCAACAGTCAACGCAAGTTCAGCTGTAAACCGTTCAAAGGAACGAATTTGTACAATTATAACGAACGAAAACTCGAATGCATCAAAAACATCTGAATGCTGGGATATTACAAAACTCGAAAGCTTACTTTTGTGGTGTGCAATAAGTGAGCTTGCAGAAATTCATTTTCAACGCATTGCACTGGATCGGTTGCTTTCTGAACGTTTCAGTCATAAGATCGACGAATTCGTCAGTGATTCGCAAGTCTTTCAGCCGGAATGTTTCCACTGTGGCATGCTTGAAACAATGGGCTATTCGCTGTAGCAACTCAGGAGGTGGTGTATGCATGGCATGTTTACGCTTCAGTCGATCCACTTCACTTTCGCTCTCATTCAAATAAATTGGAACTAGCAACGGGGACGGCGACGTTGAGATCGTTGGTTGGCCGGAATTATCGATGAAGACCAGCATTGACGAGAGTTTTGACGGAGGCGCCTCCTCATTCGCATCATTACACAGAGGTCGTTTAACGCCTATTGTAATCTTTCGTTTTGAGTCCATCGCAACAGAATTGCGTAGTTTCCATTGTCTCGTGAAGTTACAAGTCCTNTGAAAATGCATCGAAATGGAATTCAAAGAAGTGAAACAATTTACTTGATCGTAAGTGTAAAAGAGCGTTTATTTGCTTCCAATATCAACGACTTTATGAAATGTTTTGGCAATCGTTGTTTATTGTATTTGATTACGGATGCCCATTGCCGACATACCAATGAACAATTGTCAAGATCAGATCGTGATAAATTTTGCAGAATTTTCAAATGAATCTCTATTGGCAGCGCATCGATTGGGAATGTTGTGGAAACCTGAAAAAACAAAAAAATAATCATTTTGCTTGGAATTATGCGATAACTTTGATCGCTTCGCTTATAGCAGAAGATCTGTCATGAACCATGAGATCCCCTCAACAGGTAGACGAACTCCAAATGTAAAACGAAATGAGTACACCGTCAGCTCTCAGGTACTAACAGATACTACCCGGTGTTCACACGTATAGTGTTAACTTTTTGAGAAGATCCCACTTAGAATTCAATTAAGTGTAAGCATAAATGTGAAATGCTAATGCAAATAAAATTTTGATATCAGTTCGAAAACAACGCATCGAATCAATGGACGATTGATATGAAATAAACTAAAGGCATAAATCTGCTTGATATATAGATTTGGATAGATTAATGTGATAATGTAGTGTTATCAATAAATCTCATTGCATCCTCTAATCGTCCCTTTGCAATGATTTTCACTCAATTGGCTATTCGAATAAACACAAACAAATGTGAATCTTTCTTTCTCATAACCTATCATCTGTCCACAACAATCATACGACCATATATGAAAAACGAATTGAGTAATCAAAACAAATCGAAATGGAATGGATGGAAGGGATTAAAAAGCATTATTGATGTGATTTCAGAGAGGAGTGCGAATCGAAATGAGCAAATCCGTTGTGCGTTCGTTCGTTAATGTTGCAGTCTGTCATAGCAATAATTCAAATTGAGCAAAGCGATATTTATTTGAAAGAATGACGAATCAAAATGACACTTGTGGGATGCTGCCTATTTGGAGAGTATGTGATGATGGGTAATTTCATTTAGTAATAAATGATACGAAAGCATATTTGAGGTGGTAAAGCGTTGAACAATTTCTGAACGACTTTATTCATTTAGCTACGTATTGTTTTCATCCGACTGTTGCAGTGAATTTGATTCGGCATTTGACGATTGATGAGCATTTGATCTATTGGTGAAGATCGATATTTTGATTTATTGAAATTAACTGCGCACTCCTAAGTCGAAGCAAAACAACAAATGAATTGTAAACAAAGTAATGCCAGTAGTTAGAATGTTTAATTATACGCACCAAGAAAATTCAAGCAATTGTTGCATTAANACATTATTACTCTGCACTATTGCTTTATTGCAGGTGTACAATTGCCCAAGCATGATTGGTTTATTGACTAATCGAGAGACAAGATACATGAGATATATGGGAACAACATCGAATAATCGTGTCTGTTAGATTTGCATGATGTTCATCATATCCCCTTGTCTTATACCTGTTCATAAATAGATTGCGTGTATTTGCTTGCGGATAGAAATGTTAGTCATCGTTCATGTTTACATACGACTGCATACGGACAGAAGCTATGGATGGATTTGTCAAGGTATACATACAGGTTCACCACTCTACATCTGTGCGGATAATACGAGTAGATATGTAGAACACACATACCTGGTTGTTATTGGACCGTGAGTGCCCTTGGCTGGAGTAACATGATATCGGTGATCCTCTCGCATACGAAGTGGACGGGTACTGAAATTCGAGAGCATACTATCGTATTCAATGAATAATCATTCATTCAGTGGTTATCTGTGAAGGTGAATAATGATAATAATAACGAATATGTCTGTCTGCATAAGAATTCAAGTATTCAGACTGATCCAACAACCATCTCATGAAGGAGCAATTATCATGTGAATCGCAGAAAGATGTTGCAACAGTTTACATCATCACGCATGTTAACCAAAATTCGAGAACGGCAGATTTTATTCACATGAAGTGCTTTATGTCTCTGACTCAACTGTATAAACAATAATTTCATGATCAACACTTTGCATTTATGGTTCTTCGAGTGGAATCTAGAATATCACGGAATACTACGCCCTTCTAAAAATATATCCGTGTAAATATTGTGTTATATAAAAGACGAATTAACTGACGTGACCAAGGTAGTGTAATCTAAATTGTCATGATCTTTTATAGATCTTCTCAAAATGCTCTGAAATATTTCAACATTCCAGAACCAAAATCAAGTAATGCACCCAATAGCATGCCTCATTATCAACTCAATACCAGTCAAACTATAAATAATACCAGTCAATGGATACACTGTTTCTAGCAAGTTTTCATGTGNCTACTAAATACGAACCTGTTCAGTGCAAAGCACATCAGCACCTAATCGCGTCATTGTTGTCGTGTTGCAATCCCCTCAATCGACGATTCGGAATATCTTTCAAAGAGCAATCGCTAACAACAATATTCTCTCGTAAAGCCAACTGAACTGGATGCGCACTAGCACGCAAACTCTGCCACACAAATAACGTTGGTAATATGATGATGATGATGGTCACAAGAATGATTTATAGCAACTAACTGCTAGCTGCAATTGAAAAACGATTAGGTGAGATACTGTAATAATACAACTACCGTAGCGTCGTTATAGCGTCGATTATGAGTACATAAAATGCCATAAAAAGAACTGAAGTAAAGTGCGAACGAATACAAACGAAGACTATTAAATGAATAAAAAGACCGCTCAATAATGAGCACACTTCTTCTCAATCGTTATCTCGTTCAAATACCGTAATCTGCCTGAAGTGGTTGGGTTGAGCGATCAGTATTCTTATGAGGCTTAGCGTTTGTGAAGAGGACAGAACACAGAAATGACGATAATGACGAAATAATTAAGATGAAGAGGAGACGAATTTATTGCTTTCTTTCACGACAACAACAAAAAAAACGAAAATTATCGTCGTGTCATTTAGATGAATTGCCGAACAATTGAGATGTTCCATATAGACACATACGAACAAATGTATGCAATTGAAGAACATATAATTTGTCCTTGATCCATGTAAACAGTGAATTGCATGTACATGGATAAGTGCTAGATTCGATAGTGGTCAATTGCACCGAATTAATTGTTCAACACCAAATGCTGCAGCAGAAGATGCATTTCCGTTCAGGACTGAGAAAGACAGTTTGAAGGGAATTAATTGAACGGGTAGAAAATTATGGGGACCAATTCAAGGAGTCGCACGATGTGGAGCTTGGTGACGGTGGAATGAGCAAGAGTGGAGAAGATATATTGTGCGCTTGAGGCAGACTCTGGAAACGTTTCGAAATGTAATTTCGAAACGTTTCCAGAGTTTGATTGAAACACAGAATTGAGGCCAACCAAATCATCAATGAAATAAGATTTTGCAAGTTGGTCGCAGATCAGCAACGAACGAACTGATTCAGAATAATCAATGACAGAGTGTTCAACGAGTTCTTCGGTGTGACCAAGNAATAATGATTATTAATGTAAATACTGGCCAAAGCAAGCTAACGAGTCCAAAATTATTTCAGAGGATCGCTGGAAGCTGATATGACCATTGAACAGCAAACACTGATCCTTGTGGAATGCAGATAATCATAAATTATTAAAAGATTTATGGACTGTCAACCGATAAAAGAGAATCGAATTCAAATGAATTGAACAAATTCATCTGTCAAGTTCATTTTTTTGGATCAAACTGAAGTTTATTTGCTTCTCAAAAAGAAAACGTCCCATCGGACCAATCGTTTCTTTAAATGGTTCGCATGCTGTTCCACTCGTGAAGAAATGAAACTGAACTTACTGCGGAAAAATACTTTACAAAATTCGAAAACATTTGCGGGCTTAAGAACACTCGAAAGTGTGTACCAGCACCGCACAGACTGTTGACACCAAATATCACCTCAAAAATTAGTTTTATCTAGATTCAGAGTCAACAATTGATCATTGCTATTTTCACGATTCTCAAAATAACCATCAAAGGTATTCATTCAAAAAAATGTTGACAAATTGTGATCAATAAATACTTTATTATCATGATTTTTTGATCG